AAATTCAAAAAAAAAAAAAAAAAAGCTAAGGAATCATATAATCAGGGTGTTAAAATAAACACAAATCTCACCTTTCAGAGCAAACATTAATAAAAATTTCTCAGCCAGGTTCGTCAGTTTGCAGTTCCCTTAAACATTTCCGATGTGGTCTGTGCCTATTTGCGGCGCGTCTTTATTTGGTGGTGTTGTGAGCATTTGCAGCATGTGTGTTGTTAAATTGATGATGTTTTCTTAATTTGCATGCGTTTTTTCATTTGCAGTGCATTGAGCTCTCTCGGCCGCCGTCTTAAACAGCTCTAAACAAATCTGTGGCTGGATTTTGATGAGAGACAACAGGAGATAGACTTTTTCACTTCTTCACTATGTTATTATGGATTATGGACTCGGATTTTAGTTCAAAAGGTCTTAATGATGGATTTGTTTCTTATAAACACACAGCTTTTGGCTTAAACCAGACAGTTTCATCTAGGGATGCACGATATTGGATTTTTGCACCTATCCGATATGCCGATATTTTTCAACTCATTTTGGCCGATACAGATATATTTCCTTTGTTTGGAAAAAACACCAAGTCTCTCCTGTGCAGAGATTATAAACAAATTATTTTTTACATTTTGGTTAGTTTTTAACAAAAACTTACTTGCTAGAATAAAAAAAAAACTTATTTTATAATAAGAGTACATTGAAAGCTTTGAAAATAACTATAAATCAACTATAAACCAATTACAGCATTTTTTTTTCTTCAGGCAGATGCAGGTAACATTTTATTTGAAAATTTTCTAATTTTGGTCAATAGCCGATGCAGATACCGATATATATTTCCCTTTGTTTTGAAACACCAAGTCTCTCCTGTGCAGAGATTATAAACAAATTATTTTTTACATTTTGGTTAGTTTTTAACAAAAACTTACTTGCTAGAATAAAAAAAAAACTTATTTTATAATAAGAGTACATTGAAAGCTTTGAAAATAACTATAAATCAACTATAAACCAATTACAGCATTTTTTTTTCTTCAGGCAGATGCAGGTAACATTTTATTTGAAAATTTTACATTTAGATGTAGATGGTCTAAAGCAAAAGAGTCTTTCTTAATCTGCTTGGAAAAAAATCACACATTAATGAATAAATCTATATATAAAAAATAATTTAATTTACAAGTGTCATTTTTATTCATGTAAGCTATAGCTTCTGAGCTTTAAATCAAAACATACTAATGATTTTATGACATAAATTACTGCTTTATTTAATCGAACACAATCTTAATGTTATTTGTGTATTTTACTTTCATTTTAATACAAGTAGGCCAACAGCGCCCCCTAAGTAAATAAAAGGCCTTACCGGATGGGCATTAGGACCCGCTGCTGCTGCACATGCTAGTGACTGTTGACTCTTATCACACACCAGACGCGTCATTCTGTGTTTGCTTAATTGCTTTCTCAGATTAAATACGGCGATCCAAAACAGTGAATCTAATCACCATTCTTGACAAAAGTTCGCTTCAAGAATGACCACACTGCTGACATGATTGTATTGCTAGCACACCCTGAGCACATGTAATTTATTCATCTTATCGGCAGGACATATTGGCATAATTTTTCATGGGCCGATGCTGATGTTTACATTTTAAGCCATTATCGGCCGATTCCGATAACGTTCCGATAATATCGTGCATCCCTAGTTTCATCTTTTTTTTTGATTGTGGCCGATGTTTACATTTTAAGCCATTATCGGCCGATTCCGATAACGTTCCGATAATATCGTGCATCCCTAGTTTCATCTTTCTTTCTTCGGATTGTGTGAATGTTCCTGAGATGGTCGTTCTGATCACGTGACGTCTGCGTGCGTCTGTTGTTCTCAGGCGAGACGGTGCGAGTGTTTCAGCGCAGCCGCTGTTACGACGGGACGCTGGCGGCGCTGGTGAAGGCCGGCGTGCGGCTGCTGGTCAGCAACGGTCCAGACGACTCCGCCGCTCTACTGACCGAACTCGCACAGGTGGAGCGAAGGAAAGGTGAGGCCATCAGCGTGCCCCTAGAGGTCAAAGGTCACCGGCAGCAGGCTCTCCAGTTCTACCTGACGCTGCCTCACGTGAGCTACGTCAGCGCGCTGAACATGTGCCATCACTTCAGCTCCGTCAGTCACATGATCAACAGGTGCGCTCATTCACACCTGATGCTCCTGAACCGCAGGTGTGCTTTATTAATGTGAGTCAGGGCCGTAACCACCATATCCCCCCCTAATAATTAGAAATGGCCAATCTGTCCCCCCAATATCTGAAACTTGTGCACTGATCTGCTGCACTCCATTACGCAGCGCTCTGTTTTTAGTAGGGATGTAACGATGAACCACGAGCCGGTTGAAAATCAATTAAAATATGTGACGATTCAAATCGGTTGAGATGCTTAGCAAATCGCGATACAATTGGAGTAGGAGTTTATATGAATGTATCTCTGAGGGGAACTGACTGTTCATAAGCACAGCTCTGCTTTGTTTACAGTGGTAACCCAGGAAACACTGTATCATTGCTGTTCATAAGCGCCACCTGCTGGCAGAGAGTGGATCTGCATCTCATTCAGCTCGTCTGCTGTTTCCTTCAGATATGTTTTATGTATAGTTTCACAAAACTAAAGTCAGAGCATTCTGTTTTTGCTTCAAATTTTGAAATTATAAGTCTAATTTAGATTCAAAACTGCTCGTGTTGCATGAATGCAGCATCTTTGTTTGGATCAAGATTAAAATGCAGTGGTTGCCTGTAATTTTAAATGGAAAGAGCTCAGACAAAGCCTTAGTTTGTTTATATGAAGAGATTTATTTTATTTGTGTAACTTATTTGATTTGGGGTTTGTTTTAAAATTTCAGTTTAGTTTTGTTATATTTCAATTTCACAAAGAAACGTGCAGCAATAGCCTAATCAAATGACACCTTTTCATTTACTGTATAATGTCTTCAATCTCATTTTGTTAAAAAAAAAAAATCGTGAGAAAATCAAAACGTGACATCAAAATAGTGAATCGAATCGTGAGTTGAGTGAATTGTTACATCCCTATTTTTTAGGATGACAAAAAGGTTTCAAAGTGACATTTTCCACCTGGCCTGCTCAGCGGTCTAACAGCGCTCGTCAATGTCAAAAATAATTGAGATAGCCAATCAAATCAAAGTAGGCGGGCTTTACTGTTCACAGAAGCAAAGCACGATTTTCAGCACGAAACGTCAATTTAATGTTGAAAGAGAGTGAGGTAAGATGAAGTAGCAAATCATTTAATATTAGTCAACCGACAGCTATATCCAGAGATGCAAACAAATAAACTTTTCCCCTCAAATATGGCTATTATGATTGATTGATTGATTGATTGAGCGAGAGAGAGAGAGAGATTGAATTTGCATGTGTGATAGTTACCTGAGTCTGTGCATCTCTCTCAACAAACAATGAAGCTGTGAGTTTTACTTCAAAATCAGCGATTTTACCCCCTCATTGCTGAGAAATATAGTGTAGCAATTCATGATTCAGTATAGCTGTTTTATTAATAAAAGTCAGCATTGACAGCAAGTTTCTGTGCGCAATCTCCGATCTCTGTGCATTAATAAAAGCAGCTCATTAATATAGAATGGTGATTAAACTGTATATTCATTATGTATATATAAATACACACATAGTGTATATTTTTTAAATGTTTACATGTATTTACATGCATATATTTATATTCATATAATTTATATTATAAATATTTTTAATATATAAATATAACATTTTTCTGAAATATATACATGCATGTGTGTGTATTTATATATATACATAATAAATATACACAGTACACACACATATATTATGTAAACAAAAACTTTTATTTTGTATGCGATTAATCATGATTAATCATTTGACAGCACTAATATATATATATGTATGTGTGTGTGTGTGTCCCTGCAGCACAAAAGCAGTCTTAAGTCGCTGGCGTATATTTGTAGCAATAGCCAACAATACATTGTATGGGTCAAAATTATTCATTTTTCTTTTATGCCAACAATCATTAGGATATTAAGTAAAGATCATGTTCCATGAAGATATTTAGTAAATGTCCTACCGTAAATATATCAAAACTTAATTTTTGATTAGTAATATGCATTGCTAAGAACTTCATTTGAACAACTTTAAAGATGATTTTCTCAATATTTAGATTTTTTTGCACCCTCAGATTCCAGATTTTCAAATAGTTGTATCTCAGCCAAATATTGTCCTATCCTAACAAACCATACATCAATGGAAAGCTTATTTATTCAGCTTTCAGATGATGTATAAATCTAAATTTCACAAAAGTGACCCTTACGACTGGTTTTGTGCTCCAGGGTCACATATAGAGTTGTTCCAGACATGGTTACGGTCTTGACGTGATTGAGGCGTTTCTGTTGTTTTTCAGTTCGGTGGACGAGCTGCAGGCATCTGCGCACATGAGCCACTCCAGAGCCGAGGATGTTTACCGCTGTCTGCGCTACAGCTGCGATTCGGCTCTCATGACTAACCAGCTCTAACTTATACTCAGCACTTTAATGCATTATGGATTTATTTTTATGAATAATCAGGATTATATCGTACCTTTATGTGACGTAAATGTTTTCCGTTTAGGAAAGTTCTGCCCATCAGATTATGAATGTTGCCGTTACGGTAATTCTGAATTATTTATGTTTACAGGTAATAGAGACTCTGTGTGAGCAGGAACTACTTTGAGAAATAAAAGAGCTTCATCTTTTTGATAACCGCTCGTCTCTTTTCTCCTTCAGTGTGTTTGAGATCATCAGGTTTGTTTGTGGTTTTGAGCCACTAGAGGCCGCTCTTCTCCACTGAACCTTCATCACGGCTCTGATCTTCCTCTCCATCATATAATCTGTAGTGTGTTCCAGTCAGTCTGAACATGCGGAGACTCAGGAGTAACCTGCTATCTTCACATTCATTCATGAGTGTTTGAGTTCATCGTCAGACAGTTAACCGTTTAAATGCCCCATATTTTGTGAGACAAATATGTTGAAGGGTAGAAGGTGTGTGACTGTTGATCTGTGCGTAACGCTGTTCCCTTGAGCTTCATGAATCAAAAACACTGATGAGCAGTCATCAATAATCTGCCTATGAAATCCCTCATAGTATTTACATTCATAAAAATACCGGAGAACGACAACAAATGATGCAAATATATCGTATATACAGGAGTATGTCGATTACAGGCATGTCAGAAACTAGTCACATGTTTAAGGTGCATGTAAAGATTAAATAACAATTACAAAATGACTCTTATGTATGTAAACATGTAGGACCATGTGACCGTTTCTCCAACAGTCTTTCAAGATCATCTGCAGATCTTGCGGTCTGAGAGTCCCTGCATTCATCTAGTTTCACTAATCAGGATTAAAATCGGGAAATCAACTTTGCATTTAAGGTTTACTTTTATGTCTAAATGGAAAGTCAAAGTTTGTACTTGACACACAAAATGTGCAAAAATTGTACTTATAGGGTTGTAACAGCTTGCCACTGTAACAGAAGTCAACTTTGCACTTCATTTACCCCTAAAAAGTGCATAGTAGTACTTTAAGCGCACATATTGCTATTCTAAGGTACTAATATTTACTTTTATGCATTTGGCAGACACTTTTATCTAAAGCGACTTACATTGCATTCAAAGTACACATTTACATTTCATCAGCTCTTGCTTTTCCTGGGAACTGAAGCCATGACCTTGAAGCCTTATGACTTGTATAATATTCACCTTTTAGGTGTAAATAAGGTACAGATTTGTCCCCTGAACAGTTCTGTCCCAGTCACACGCTGTTGTATCGTTAAAGATACAATTTTGCACATTATTTTGGACAGTGTGGGAACGGGATAAATAACTTGCAGACGTGTCACAGTTCTCTCATACGAGATTATTGAGAGACATTCTAAAAGGCTTAATGAGTTAAGACGGTGTTTTTATAAGACCTAACTCTGTAAACAGGTTATTAATAAATCATACTATGTACAGACAAGCAGATGAGTCCAGGATACGAACACAATGCGTTTAATAACACGTTAAGCGTTTTCTTCCCATAGGAAAACATCAATGTGGATGCATTAAAACTGTTTTATTATAGGCTCTGCTTGTCTGTATATGGTATGCTTTATTAATAATGTGTTTACTGAGTTTTGTCTTTCAAAAACACTGTCTTTAATGCATTAAGCCATGTTAAGCGTTTTCTTTATAATGTTATATGGGAGGAAAACGCTCCAACACCTAATTAAACGCATTGCGTTCGCATTCTGGGCTCATCTGCTTGGCTGTAATTAGTATGCTTTATTAATGGGTTTACTGAGTTTGGTCTTTCAAAAACAGTCTTTAAGCCACGTTAAGCGTTTTAGAATGATCCCATCGTCGATGTCCAAATCTCCTGCGGTACGTCGCTCTGGTTCTTCATCAGCGTCAGGCATTTCTACAGATGCTGATCTGGGAATCCTCGAACCCAGTAGACACTCATTCATCCCAATAATTCAGCGGTACGGTCCTTTAAACATAAAGTGGTTAAGATAATGTAAGGTCATTGTTCAGCCTTTGCGTTCGCTGACCTTTTCTCTTTATTAGACAGAGTCTGGAGTCAGGAGGAGGTTTATCGGGGCAGTGAATCTGGTTTCCATCTCAAGAAGATTCAAGTCTTCAGATCCTCGAGTCACAGGCTGCTGTGCTGCAGGTTGGGCTGCATGGGTTCGCAGTCCTTCATGCTGTCGTCGTTCTCGCGCATGTACATGAGGAAGAGTGTGACGGTGGCGAATGTTGTGGCATTGACGGGAAACGCTCTCAAGAGAGTCGAGGTCAGGCCTCGAGTGAAAGTTCTCCATCCTTCCCGCCGCCAGCTCTGACGGACGCAGTCCACGATGCCGTCGTACCTGTTGGCTCCGCCCACTCCGTCCGCCTGGAGGCGGGACTTGATGACATCCACGGGATAAGTAGAGATCCAGGACGCCATTCCCGACATGCCGCCCGCCAGGAGCAGCTTGGGAATGATGTAGTCGGCGTCAGCGTCGCAGCCCAGCGCGCGCGTCAGCGTATCGTAGGCGAGGAAGTAGACGCCGAATCCAGGCGTCTCGCGGATGACGGTGGTCACCATTCCTCGGTTTATTCCTCGGACTCCCTCCTTCCGGTGGATGCGGATCAGGCAGTCCAGAGAGTTCCTGTACATCTTCCTGGAGGCGCTCTTCTCGCCCGTTCCCTGCATCTGCATGCGGGTCTTGGCCAGCTCCATCGGGCAGCAGATCACACACTGGATGAATCCGGCCGCTGCGCCCGCTAGGAACTGGTGCAGAGGCGTATCCGCGCCCAACACTCGCATGGCGTTTCCCTGCATGCCGAAGACGATGGCATTGATGAAGGTCAGGCCCATCATGGGCGAGCCGATGCCCTTATAGAGGCCCAACATCTGGAGTCAAACGAGAAACAAAGACAGTAGCTATGTTTACATCCACCTATTTTTATGTGCATTTTGGAATATCGCATAAAAAAAAAATGCTGGATGGAAACGCCAAGATGTGCCTAAATTCTCAAAATGAGCATAAAAAACTTATGCCCTCAACTAAGTGAGATAAATGTCTTATCCGGTAAGAAAACATGCTCATAAACTACAATGGAAACACATTTACGAAACAAGTTCCACCTTGCGGTAGTTAAATTCACATCTTTGGGTGTGAAGAGTTAATGTCTAGAGAACCCAAAACCCCTCGTCTCTGCACCTGCGGACAAGTATAGATGTTCCCCGTGCTAAATTTAGCTCCGCGTGCTTGTTCCTGACGTCTCGGGTATCTCCTGGAGTTCATGCCTGTCAAACATCTCAGCGTTACTGAACCTCGAACACATGCACTTCTAATCAAATCAGCATCGTTTGATTAATTCGTGTTCCTGGAGATGGTACGCTCCTGACAACAAAGCTTCCAAAATGTGGTTTTCACAGTAATGCCATAGAAAAACCATTTTTGGTTCCCCAAAGAACCTTTCAGTGATCAGTTCTTAAAAGAATCATTTTACTTAATCTTTAAAATAGCATACTACAAATTTAAAGAACCCTTTTCCTCAAAAAAAAATTTTTGTACAAGTGAAAATGATTCTATGGATGTTAAGGGTTCTTCATGGAACCACCAATAAAGAACTTTTATTTTTAAGAGTGTAGAACCGTTTTTGGTTTCACTAACCAGGATTAAAATCGTGGATTTAACTTTTTACTTTATCTTTGCATATGAGGTTTACTTTTATGTTTAAATGGAAAGTCTTAAATTAAGAGCAGAACTCTTAAAGGGATAGTTCACCCAAAAATGAAAGTTCTGTCATTAATTACTCGCCCTCAAGACGTTCCAAACCCGTAAGAACTCCGTTCATTCTATGTCGTTATTTTAGTTTTCTTTGCGCACAAAAAGTATTCTTGTAGCTTCGTAAAGTTACAGTTGAACCCCTGATGTCACATGGACTATTTTAATGATGTCCTTGCTATGTTTCTGAGCCTTGATCGTGTTAGGATCCTTGCTGTCTATGCAGGGTCAGAGAGCTCTTGGAATTCATTTAAAATATCTTAATTTGTGTTCTGAAGATGAACAAAGGTCTTACAGGTTTGGAACGACATGAGGGTGAGTAATTAATGGCAGAATTTTCATTTTTAATAAGACAACTTTGCATTTTATTTACCCCTTTAAAAGTGCATAGCAGTACTTTAAGAGCACATATTGCTACTCCAAGGTACTAATATTTACATTTATCTCAGCGTTACTGAACCTTGAGCACATGCACTTCTAATCAAATCAATATCATCTGATTCATTCATGTAGCACTTAATTAATTCATGAAGCAACTTGCAGTGAACAGTTGTTTAAAGAACTATTACTGTGAAGGACATTTTAATGATCTAAAGAACCATTTTCCACTATACACTTTTAAAAATAAAGTTTCTTTATTGGTGTAGATGAACCTTTAACATCCGTGGAAACTTTCCATTCCAAGATTCTTTAAAGTGGAAAAGGTTCTTTGGATTATTAAGATGTTCTTCACTTTTAGATCTGTCCACTTGTAGGTTCTTTGGGGAACCAAAAATGGTTCTTCTATGGCATCACTGAAAATCCCCATTTGGAAACTTCTTTTTTTTTTTTTATCCAATATGAAGATTCCATGGATGCTAAATTTTTTTAGTGTCTTAATTTTTCATCAAAATTAGTTCCCCCTCTGAAATGACTTTCTCTTTTCAAGAAATCAGATAAAAATTATTGATACACTGCAAAAAAAATGCTTATCTTAGTATGTTTGTCTTGTTTCTAGTAAACAAGTAAAATTATCTGCCAGTGGTGTAAGTAAAATATTCTTAAAACAAGAGAATTTTACTTACCCCACTGGCATATAATTTTACTTGTTTTAAGTAGTTGTTTTGCTTACCAAGTAAATGCATCTTAATAGGGCTGCCCTCGACTAAGGATTTTTCTGGTCACTAGTAGTCGTTCATTTTAAGCATTAGTCGACTAATCGCACGTTTATTAATAAATCATTATAATGAGCCTTTAATTGCCTTCATAGCCTAATAAGCGCTCAAGCGCACACATAAAGCTTGCCACAGCGCACCGCAGAAGCTATGATTATGAATGTGTCAGGGGAAAACAGTAAGGAGGCTGCATTAACATTTTAATAATTCACTGATAAACTAGTGCTTTCTTTGTTCTCGGTTTAAGAGATGAAGTCGGCGACACTGACTCGTCGTCTCCACAGTAGTGGATGCGTCTGCATGTTTCACATGGATTACATATTCTGAGAATATTTGTTTTCCGTTTGAATTGGTTCATTTGAAAGTAGACATTTCACTCTATAGATATATTTTAATGTCTGTAAGGCAAAGATATACACGGAGTTTCGCGCTCAAGTTCACAGAGACCGAGACGGCAGAAAGCGCATCCTGTTCGCTTTCATTATTTCACGAAAGCGTGATTTGTTGTTATTGTGAGTGCACACAAATAAACACAGAGTCTTTACAGATTTGAAAGATGTATTACTCTTATCTGTATGAGCAAAAATTACGGAGTATTTTAAGAGCAAGTGACGCACCGGCGCCTCCTGCAGTGAGCGCTAATGTTCAGCTTCCACACAGACACTTGAATAGTGGACATTCCTCTAGCTTAACATTAGATTGAGCGGCCATGTAAAGTTGCTAATACTTATTTCAGATGATAAGCCATATTTGTGGTGGATGATTGATAGGCGAGCGTTTGGACGTCCTGCCGGATGCACTGTATTACCTTTTTTTTTTTCCTGCGACTAAAAAAATGTTGGTCAACGAAGCCTCTTCTATTAGGGGGCAGCCCCTACATCTTAATTTAAGAATTTTTTGATATTTAGAAACAAGACAAAAATACTAAGTAAGATAAGCTTTTTTTTTTTTTTGCAGTGTATGATCAGTTTTTGTCTTGTCTGTGAGATCAGTGCAAAACCAGCCTGTTGAGCTTTCAAAGACGTCATAAGGATCTCTCGTCATTAATCCTACTCACCGATTCCTGACGGACGATGGACTGGAAGCAGTGATACGTGCCGCGGTACAAGGGCTTGTCCACGCTCTGAACCTGCAGTCTCACCTAGAAAATGGAATTTTTCCCATTAAACCTGCTGTGATCAGGCCACGAGTGATGGTTGAGATGGAAAAACACAGCAGAAATCACACAGAAGTGAATGAATCTAGAGCTGATGTTTGACCATATTCAATAAGATTCCAGTCCAATGGAAAGAGAGGAACGGACCCGGGCTTTACTTACGAGGTTAACCTCCGAGCGGCCAGTGTAACAGCCTCGCTCTCATCTACAAAAAAGTGACACTTTTGCTGTAAAAGACCCTTCAGCTGTGAACTCGTGATCAGAACAAAGGCACCAAGGCAAGACGTATCTTGCCCTTTGCCTTTAAGTACAAAAAACACTCTGGGTTTTAGAAAAGTGTTAGTTTTACGGCAGCGGCTCACAGAAACACACACATGCAACTAATGACAATAACAGACCATAATACTCAACACAATACAGTCTGAGCATTCTGTCTCTCAGCTGATGCTTTTTAATGCAGGTATATCATCTAAAGGCATGCGTCTTGATCAGGGTTAATACGCATTTAGGCATTCGATGGCTGCTTTTATCCAAAGTAACACATCGCATTCATTTCAATAAATGCGTACAATCTGTTCTTGCACAGGAACATACAACCCTCAAGCTAAAACATTGAAATATTAAAGCCATTTATCATTTTAATTAGATTTTAATTGATTATACAATCTAATAGATGGCTATTTGTCAAACCGTGAATGCAGAATCTGACAAACGTGACTGACTTTGTAAGACAATTTGTGCACATGCGTTTGGTGTTTAAGATGAGCTTTAGTAGTAGATGCACTCTTTAAAATAAAGCAGTTTTTGCAGTGATGCCATAGAAGAAGCATATGTGACCCTGGAGCACAAAACCAGTCATCAGGGTCAATTTTGTGAAACTGAGATTTATACATCATCTGAAGCTGAATAAATAATCTTTCCATTGATGTATGGTTTGTTAGGATAATGATAATAAGAAATGTTTCTTGAGCAGCAAATCAGCATATTAGAATTAGATTGAATTAGAATAAGATTTCTGAAGGATCATGTGACACTGAAGACTGGAGCAATGATGCTAAAAATCTAAATATTGAGAAAATCGTCTTTAAAGTTGTTCAAATGAAGTTCTTAGCAATGCATATTACTAATCAAAAATTAAGTTTTGATATATTTACGGTAGGAAATGTACAAAATATCTTCATGGAACATGATCTTTACTTAATATCCTAATGATTTTTGGCATAAATGAAAAATGTATAATTTTGTCCCATACAATGTATTGTTGGCTATTGCTACAAATATACCCCAGCGACTTATGACTGCTTTTGTGCTGCAGGCTCACGTATATGCTTCCCCAAAGAACCTTTCAGCGAAAAAAGTCTTAAAAACCATTTTTCTTAATTTTTTAAAATAACATTTTACAAATCTAAAGAGCTTTTTTTCTGCTATAAAGAATCTTAAGGTTCCATGCATGTTGAGGGTTCTTCATGGAACCACCGATAAAGGGCCTTTATTTTTAAGAGTGTAGAAGAAGCATTTTTGGTTCCTCAAAGAACCTTTCAGTCAGTAGTTCTGCTGATTTTTACTGGTTTAGTCAAAGCAGACGTACCTTGACCGTATCAAACGGATGTCCGACCAGCACACCTGCGGCTCCTGAAACATGAACACCTGAGAGTGAGTTCAGACTGTTCGAACACCGTCAGCATGATTAGGAACGTGTCAGAGCTGCAAGCGACTGATGCAATGTGTTTGAGCTATGAGTCTGAGGTCAGCTCTTCAGCCTTGACCCGTGCGAATGAAAGACACCTGCGTCATTCATGCATGAGGCAAGAGCTGTTTGACCAATCGATGTAAACATCACACGATCATCATCTGCAGACTGCAAAACTATCTCACAGACGTCTTCATGCTTCTCAGGTTCTCATCTTCAGTTCTTATCACACTGCGAAAACTGATTCTCTTAGTATTTCTGTCTGGTTTTCTAGTATAAATATCTAAACATTCTTCAATCAGGATGCATTTACTTGACAAGTAACATGACTTAAGATATGTCTTGTTTTCTGAAAAAATTACAATTTTGTTAGTTTTAGCTTAAAACAAGCAAAAATATCTGCTAGTGGGGTTAAGAAAAATAATCTTAATTCAAAGGCTAAACAAGATTATTTTTCTTGCCCCATTGGCAGATATTTTTGCTTTTTTTAAGCTAAAACTAACAATTTTGATTTTTTTTTTTTTTTTATGAAAACAAGACAATTATCTTAAGTCACTTGTCAAGTCACCTTTATTTATATAGCGGTTTTAATAATACAGATTGTGTCAAAGCAGCTTTACAGTATTAAATAGTGTCAATGCAAAAGGACAATAGTAAACACTCAATTTTCAGTTAAAGGCAGTTCAAGTAAATGCATCTTGATTGAAGAATGTTTAGATATTTATACTAGAAAACAAGACAGAAATACTAAGAGAATCAG